TGGATCACATTTGTTATTGTTTAGACAATCGCACATATGCGTACAATTTTGGCCATAAAATCCATCTGGACATTTATCTTCACATGTTGGGCCCTAAAGCATTATTCATAATTAAAAAAGCCTGCAAATGCACAACGAGGTGTAACCTTGGCGATAAATTACGTCTATTACAAAAAGTGAAACTCACAGTGAAACCAGCAGCACAAAGGCAGCGTCCATTTACCGCATCACAAGTGGCTCCATTCTTGCAATTGCATTCAAACTTGCAATTTGCGCCGAACTTTCCTTCCTCACATTTTCGGAGGCAAAACTCGCCGGCAAAACCATCGAGACACTTGCATTTTCCGTCTTTGTCACATCTTAACACAATGATTGGAACAAAAAATTGTTACAATCTAAAATCTTCAATAAGTTCAAAGATGGATAAAATCAAACATGCAGATGAATGACAATGAAAAACATATAAACAATACCTGCCACCATTCTGACAAAGGCACTTCTCCGTACAATTAGGGCCATAACGATCAGGTGGGCATTCCTCTTCACATCTCTTTCCTTGGTATCCTAGAAGCAGCAAAAAATTCAGATCTGTAGATAAATCAATTACGTTTGACCCCACCGCAACGCTGCCGCGACGTATTACACCTGCATCACGGTCGCGTCACGGTCATTCCAATGAAGATACTCACCTGCAGGACAAATGCATGCGCCTGTCTCTGGATCGCAGTTTGCTCCATTTTCACAATCGCATCTTCTCTGACATGATGGACCCCACAGACCCACAGAGCATGCTAAATAACTTTGAGTAACTTTGATCAGGATAAAAAGAAAAAAATGAAGAAAGCTTGAAACGGCATTCTATGATTGAATAACATCAATAATAACAACATTTGAAAAATTAGTAGATCAAAATTCAGAAATAAATTGATTCACTTCTATAAAAGTAAAGGCCTAAAGTAGATTGCTTATAGAGACTAAGATGCTCATAGTATCCAATATAATGTACTTTCGAAGCATGAAACAGCAAAAATCAATCAATAAATAGACAGAGAGACAAATAAAGCAAACAAAAAACAAACAGATAAGTGGTCAAATAGATACAACATACAAGAACTTACTTGATGTGCAGTATTTGCCACCGTAACCGGAATCACATTCGCATACATTCGGTGCTATACAATG